CCTGATACTGGGACCAATACTCGTCAACGTCCTGTCCTGTTAAAACCCCCCCCCCCCCCCCCGGTTCCCACCTTACACCTCCTCCCACCCAGGGAACTGCCCTTGACAATTACCTGATATGGTACAATACTTTCATGTCCTGTCCCATGTCTCTTGGCCTCCTGCCCAGCATTGAGGTAGTTGGAGGCTATGTGGGTCAATGTGGCTATCTGGAACAGAGTAAAGGTAAATAAAGTTATATGAATTTTTTGTGTTTTAACTGTTTGACCTTATGCCAGTTTGTGTGGGCATCTGCAGTGAATTAAGAGCCTAATGTTACTTGTGTGCAATATCATGAGACAACAGGAGTTGTTCTTTTTATGTTATCATTCAAGAATGAAAACCAAGAATCATATATATATATATATATAAACAAAAGTAACAAGAACAAGAAAGTATCCACTCCAATATATCTATCACTACTGGTAAGTGCCCAATAAGATACCTCAAAACAACAGGGCTGGATGGAGTCACCTTAAAGGTACATATGAACCGAGCATCGGTGGAGCATGGATTCCCAGTAACACATGTAAACCACTTTTACTAGATTCTTATATGACTCAAATAAATTTAACATGCCAAGGGATAAACTGAATAGATCACTCGATCAGCCATAAAAGACCTTTAGACTGCTCCTTTCTTTAAATTTTTGGTTGTAAATTTAACCTACTTTCGTGACCTACTTTCCTGCCCCATTGACATACTGCTTAGTATGCCAGCTGGAAAATCCGTTCAAACATCATTTTCGGGTAAAATTAAACAATGCCTTTTGGCAATTCTCTTAGTTATACTACTTGAAACTATATGCTGGCATTTGGTTGGTTTTTGTGACAAAAAGTTGACTTTGTATGCATCTTTAACATGTAAAACTTTCTATTTCACCAATGCAAGCTAAATGCTACATGTACAATCAGCATTTGATTTCTAATACGGGAGCTTAAAATAAACACAATGCATGCAACTACCTCCCAAGATAGCACAAATTGTGTATTCTGTAAATGAAACTGTTCGCTGTTATGGTGAGGTCAGCATCAACAAAATAAGCAGACAGCTTTTTTTCTCAACCTTACTTGTTCAACATACAAATGTAGGTATTGTTGTGGATTCAAAAGAAAAAATCAATGCATTAATTATTAACACACAACAGCTGACACAATACAACTAGAAGAACCAGTCATTGTAAGCATAGCAGTTCCAATTGATAATATTGACCCAATGCTTGCTAGAGTGTATATATTCTGGGCTTTGTCACAAAATAAGCCAGGAGAAGAAGGATGGGGAGAAAATACACCTGACAGAAAACCATTGGTAATAGATACAGTCTGAGCTGTGGAGTAATAGTGCTTTTTAAAAACTTCTACCCAATGGGTAGATCAATAAATTATTCAAACGAACAGTACTGTACGGCCAGTGACTGAATATATGACTTCATACATTTAAGTGACAATATGGCCAGAGCATCAGCAGCAGCTCTCAAGGATAATCTCTTGAGGTGTACCATCTGCCGGGGAGAGTGTGAGGACCCCCGCGTGCTGCCTTGCTACCATACATTTTGCTATGGTTGTATATCTGACCATGCTAAGAAAAATACAACTTCAAGCAGGGCATTTCCATGCCCAAGTTGTAGTGAAGAAATTCAATTTCCAAAAGATGGACTTGTAGCATTGAAAAAAGATTTTCGTACACACGCATTTTCATATTCGCATAGGGCAGAAGAAGTTTTAAGTCAGCTGCAGCAGCACAAAGTCATATCTCCACACAAAGATGATGTGACAAAAGCCATCTCACAAATGACCATCAGGTGTGAAAGACATCCTGGTACTGAACTGAAATACTATTGCGAAGAAGATGATGCTGTTCTATGTGGTGACTGTGTACCAAATAATTTCAGACATAGAATTCTACCCATAGAGAAAGTTGCAAACAGCAGCAGAGAAAAAATTCAATCTGAGCTGGTGAAAAGTGCAAAAAAGATTAACAAGTTCAAAGAAGCACTTGCCACTGAAATGCCCAGTGAAGGAAAGGACAATCACATAAGGACAGCCACCATCCACAGCATTGAAGAACAAGCCCAGCATATTTGTAGCCTGGTTAATCAGAGGAAAGATATATTGATATCAGAAGTAAATGCTGCATATGATACCCAAAAAAAGCAGACAGACAAGGACAGCCTTAAACTTCACCATGCCTCCTTGTGCAGAACCTGTGACTTTGCCCAACAACTTGTTGTACATGGTACTGATTCTGATGTCATGGTTCATGCAAAAGCTCTGATCAAGAGGATGGAAGCAATGGAGAACATACCAGTTCCAACTCCAGATACACATGTACAGATATCATTTATACCTGGTAAGATATCTTCGGCTGGTCTGGAAGCCATGTTTGGGGAGCTGACAGAACAGTTACAGCCTACACTAGCTAAACACCATGCAACAAATCCAAGATCTGCATCACATCATTCCATATTCATAGAGAAGACAGTGTGTGTGGGCTCCTTCAATGTTAGGCTGAAGGATGATAATGCTGAAATGTACATCACTGGGTTAGCCATAGATGAGCGACACATGTTTGCTGTGGATAAAGAGAATGGCAGAACTAAGGTGTTCTCACATGCAGGGAAATTCATGTTTGACATAAAATTGAAAGAGCCATGTGGTGTGGCTGTGTCAAAGACTGGTAAACTGTACATAACATCACAGCGTGAGAAATGTGTCAAAGTGTACTCTACCAAAGGACAGCAGGTGACAACCATGGGCCAGGATCGACTGGAGATGCCTCGTGGTATAACTCTGAGCATAGACCATGATCACTTGTTGGTATGTGAGAGTAAAAAGAAATCCATCTTCACTTTCAATGCAGACAGTGGACAGCTCCTGAATACTATTCCACTCAGGATGTGCAATTCTCCAGAGTACATCACAGCAAGCCTTGTGAATGACAACATTGTGCTGTCAGATTTTGGCAAGAACAGTGTATATGTCATTGCACCTACTGGTGATCAGCTCCACCAGTATGGCACAGAAGGCAGTGGTGACGGTCAGCTGAATTGGCCATGCGGTGTATGCACAGATAACCATGGCCACATCTTCATTGCTGACTTTCAGAATCACAGAATAGTGGCACTGAGTCCACATGGACAGTTCATCAAATACATTGCCACTAGTGATGATGGGTTGAAGTATCCCAGTGCCTTGGCCATCAACTCTATTGGCCAGCTGGTAGTGGCTCAGCAGGATGGGAACATAAAGACATTCAAGCTCTTTAACTAGGTACAGATCACCTTGTACACTGATCAAATATATTGCGATCCATACAGACTGAAGTTTGGATATAAAATAAATTTAATTGAATACTTATAAATGCTAATGAATACCATATGGAAGCTCTTAGAACTATGTGTAAAATTAAGACACTGTATCCATTTTTTCTTTCTCTCTTTTTTAATTGTAATTTTATTTATATACATGTATAATATTAGAGGTAATTAAAGAATTACTAGTAGCTACTGTTCATGTATTTGCAATTGTATAGTTTTGTGAAAAAAGTTTCCTCTATATATATGAGTCTAAATATAAATACATCAACATGCCATATTATGTCAGTTGTTAAGAATAATCACTTACTACATAACTCATTACGGCCGTATTATATTCAGCAAGTTTGATATCTGTGTGGGTCACATTGCAGTGTTTTTGTGAAAATGATTTTTTTTTTGATAAAATATATTATTTTAATTTAAATATTTGTGCTAGACATGTGGTACTAGTAGTTTTCCCTTTTTACATATAAAATGTTTGCTACATATTATATTATAATAATATTATAATTATAATCACTTAGTAGATAAATTTCATGTCAGTGTGTGTGAGTATGGTTTGCTGTGGATAAGTTTTCGATATATTTGACAAAATACTGTGTATTGTATCTATGATTCTGAGTGTATTGTACTGTTTGTATTGAATAAATGGCTAGAAAAACACTCAGTCTGAGCTCATGGAAAGACATTTCCCCTATCTTCCACACCCATACAAACTCTTTGTTTCATCTTATTAAAAACAGCAAAGCTGTAAAATGGACAGACATATAAATGACAAAGCTAATAGAAGCAACATCATTAAAACAGTCTTAAAATGACAAAAATCAATTTAATCACAAACATTTAAAAAAAAAACACTTCTTTTTAATTTTGATGCAATATAACATAATGCTTAACAACCAAATTTTATAATTATGCATAATTGTTACTGTGAGCATTCAGAAAATGCTACTAAAATAGTTATGTAAAGACTTTATATTATTCATTTAGGCATAATTTTGCTGTAAAAGTATCATTTAAAACCACAAACTATACTGTTGATGGCTCTGAGACAGGTACAACATTCACAGACCAACTTCCAACACTTTCAAGTTTACAGTTTCACCAGGCTGTGCTCAGATTAAAAGTTATCTGTCCAGCAGGACCAATCTATCTCAGCAGGGATTCTCTCCAAGGCCCAGCTTAATTGTCCCCTCGCAAACTAACATGAACAATAAGACCACAAAAATTTCCCAACTTTAACCAAGTGCTGTAAATTACAAGTGGGCATGCGATAAACCAAATCAATCCCTCAACCAGTAGAAAAAGCATTGAAAATGCACCTAGTTTCAATTTCTGGTCTTAAACTTGGTATACTTTTCTGTCCCTTAATTTCACAAAAGTCTGTTGTAGTAATGATATCTCATTGTATGACACATTATACTGCTGCAATATTAATTTTTTAATGAGGTTTGATGAAAATGACCAAGGTAGCCAGAAAAGCAAAAGGTAGGCAAATGTCATTTTTCAGAAAATATGAATGCTATCCTTTGGTATCTCTTTAAGTTTTGGGCATTTGGTTGGGCTTAAAGGCAAATTAAGATTTGACTTCAAATATCACTTTCAATACTGAATTATGATTTTCATAAAGGGTCATATTACTTAGTATACATGCAATTCATTACTGTACCTCATCACATACAAAGAATGCAAGCCTCTGAGCTATAACACTCAACACTGTCAGTCAAAGTAAAATGTTTTAACATTCCCATTATTCCCAACAAAAGTATCCCATTTCTCTAAACAGCAATTATAGCAAGTCAAGAAAATCTTATAATTATTATCAGGAGTTGCCCCACTGTGGGGGAACACTGTGCTAGAGTAAATAAGAACATTAAAATGGATTTAAATTTAAATTGCTTTATCAAAAAGCCACTGTGGTGAGGTCACCCTTAACTGATAAACAGATGCAATATTTTACTGTACTATTGAGAGAATCAAAAAGGAGACCAAGAACTACTTTGTGTTCAATAAATATTGCAAGTGTTATGTTTAAGCATTTACTGCAAACTTTGGTGTAATATTGGGCTACTTTTCACTGTACACTTGGTAAGTGTTTTTGTGTAAAATATCTAATAAATAAACCAGCTGCACCAGGAAGGGAATAGGAAACATAAATAGGGCCTGGATTATATTTTGACTGACTCATTCCATTTCAATCACTTTATCAAATAGTAACTATGGTGAGATCACCCTTAACTGATAAACAGATGCGATATTTTCTGTACCATTGAGTAGATCAAAAAAGGAGAGCAAGAACTACTTTGTGTACAGTGCCGGTAAATATTTCAAGTGTTATGTTAAAGGCATTCACTGCAAACTCTGGAGTAATATCAGGCAACTTTTCTCTGTGTACTTGCTACATTAGTGTTTTCATGTTAAATATATACTAAACAAACCAGCTGCACCAGGAAGTGAACAGGAAAGAAAAAAATAGGGGCTGCATTTTCTTAAAAATGAGTGATTCCATTTCAACTGAACTACAACCAGTTTCGTACAGGTTTTATTTCACCTGTAAAACAGTTTGAAATTCATGGCAGAAGCTCTTGCAGCAGCCTTCACGGACAATCTCTTGACATGTAGCATCTGTCTGGAAGAGTATGAGGACCCCCGTGTGCTGCCGTGCTACCATACATTTTGCTTTGGCTGTATATCTGACCATGCCAAGAGAACTGTCACTAAAGACAGAAAATTTCTCTGTCCTATATGTAGAGACGAGATCCGTTCTCCAAAAAAAGGACTTACTGAACTGAAAAAGAATTTCGCATTTAGTAAGGCAAAAGACATCATAACCCAGCAACAAGCAGAAAGAAGGAAGTCAGAAAATGAACAGTCCAATGTAGCAGCGACAACAAAAGTCAATGCACAATTCACCAACGGTTGTGAAACACATCCTGGTAATGAACTGAAATACTACTGCGAAGATGATGACACCCTTGTTTGTGGTGACTGTGCATTAACAGATCATTACAGACATGGTATTTTACCTGTAGAAAAAGTTGCAAAAAGCAATAGAGAAACTATTGAAACTGCCCTTGTAAAATCTCTGGCAAAAGTTAACATATTCACAGAGGCAGTAGCCAAGGAAGGAGCCAATGAATTTGAGGACTCTCTTTTCAGGAAAGGCACTGTCAACAGCATTGAAAGACAAGCCCAGCAGATCTGTACATTAATTAATGAGAGGAAAGAGACATTGATTTCAGAAGTGAATTCTGCTTATGATGTGAGGAAGGCAAAGAGCGAGGCAAACAAGGACTTCCTTGAACTTCACCATGCCTCCTTGCACAGTGCCTGTGACTTTGCCCAACAACTTGTCACATATGGCACTGACTCTGATATCATGGTTCATGCAAAAACTCTGACAGAGAGATTGGTATCAATGGAGAACACACCAGTTCTAACACTAGACACAACTGCAGAGATATCTTATAGTCCTGGTAAGATATCTACTTCCGGACTGGAAGCCATGTTAGGACAGGTGACAGTACAGTCAAAACCTCCATTAACTGGACTGAGAACAAATCCAAGATCAGCACCAAATCTTCCAGTTTTCTTGGAGAAGGCAGAATGTGTGCATTCTTTCACCACAGAGCTGAAGGATGACACTTCTAAAACCTTCATAACTGGGTTGGCCACGGATGAGCAATTTATGTATGCTGTAGATTGGAGAAATGACAGGACAAAAATATTTTCATATGTAGGGGAGTTCAAATTTGACATTAAGTTAAACAAGCCATTTGATGTTGCTGTGTCACAGACTGGTCATCTGTATATAACATCAAAAGGTGACAAGTGTGTCAAAGTGTACTCCACCAGAGGTCAGCAGGTGACAACCATGGGTCACCGTCAACTTGAAATGCCATGCGGTATCACACTGAACAGACATGGTCTTGTAATGGTCTGCGACAGTAAAAAGAAATCCATCTTTGCATTCCATGCAGATAGTGGACAGCTCCTGAACACTATTCCACTGACCATGTGCACAACCCCACAGTACATCACAGTGAACACAGTGAATGATAACATTGTGATATCAGACTTGGGCAAACACTGTGTACATGTACTGTCACCTACTGGTGATCAGCTGTACCAGTATGGTACACAAGGCAGTGGTGATGGTCAGCTGCATGCACCATGGGGAATGTGCACAGATAGCTACGGTCACATTTTCATCGTTGATTGTTATAACAAAAGGATAGTGACACTGAGCCCACAGGGACAGTTTATCAGAAACATTGCCACTAAAGACGATGGCTTAGAGGGACCCACGACATTGACTATCAATCCTGCTGGCCTGCTGGTGGTGACAGAGGCACAGGGTAATGTTAAAACATTCCTGACTAGTCCTTACAATAGATACTGCACACTCACTGCAATCTGACAAAATACATAGCAGCAATGCAGGCCTTCAAAACTTATTGCAACCACTGATGATGTATGCATGAAACTTTGCAGCTATACATATTTTTCTTTGGAACTCGATCCTGACAAGTTTGTCTCAAATTTGCTGCAATGTTTGGTGTTATCTGGAGAACACTGACATTTAAGTGTCATATTATATTTTTATATCTGTAAGAACTATCATTGACTTTTGCTTTCAGTTAATATGTTAATTGTTTTGCAGACCTCAGCCAAATTCAATAGTTCTATTAGTTCTATCAATAGTTCAATCATCTGTCATTTACGTAAGGTCATATATAAACAGGAGTAAGGGTATTAGTTATTTGCCTAATGCTTTGACCTGAATGGGCAAAATCAATAACAAAAAGATAAAAACATGTTCTATATATTTTTCTTACCCATGCAAGCAGGAATAAATGTGTATGATATGACAGAATGTGAAAACATTTGTTTTTTTCCACCAAGATATGAAACATCAATGTAAATATTTATCACCATGAATTGTTTAAAAAGTAAATTGAAATTACCTGAGTGTTTAGTAAGTTGCAGTCTATGTGTTGCCCATGTCCAGTCTTATTACGATATAAAAGTGCTGCCATGATGGCACCATAGGCGTATAGTCCTGTAGAGAGGTCAGTCATAGCCACCCCAACACGGCACGGCTCTCCATCCTGCAGTAAAATTTTTTTATCTAATTTTTAATTTTCTATCATTTTTTCCTGTCAAAAAATCTTAACATAATAAAACATATTATATTTTTTTCAATACAACTGTCTTATTATTTCTCTCCACAGCTGAGGTGGTCAAACTGAATGCCAGCACTTACAAACTATTTTAATAATCAATTAAAATTAATTTTAAAAAAAAGTATATTTATCAACAAGACAAGACATTTGTAAGACGTGCATTTCTTTAATAAATGTGCAAAATGGGGTGGTCAGTTTTCAAATGCTAGGACTTGTTTTATCAATTAATATTACTTACAGCAGGTCCAGTTATATGCATCAATCCCCCAACACCTGCTGCTATGACATCATAGCCTGCTCTTAGTGAATATGGACCAGTGTGGCCGTAGCCTGGAATACCATTAGAGCATTATCATTTTTTTTTTAAATATAGAAATACACGCAAAATTTACTTGTGCAGACTGAAAAACAGAGATTTTTTTTTTTTTTTTTTTTTGCAGATTACAAGATTGCCCTTAAATCTATAAACTTCTTTTCCGATAAAAATGATGCAGAAAACTGTCTTAGATAACAGGATATATCTTTGCTTCTTGTCTCATGAAATGCAGATGTTTATTTTTAAATTATTTTAAAAAACTATTCCAGTAAAAATTTTAGATGTAAAATAAGTTATAAAATGGAATAAAGGATGACTATTTTGCTCTGACTAAAGCAATGCCAGGGTCCGGTTGGGTTTGGGAGGAAGGGGGCAGTACTTGGGGTGAGGCACAAGGAAAAAGGAATAAGCTGAATAAAGCAAGCCAAATTCTAGACAGCAGTCAAGGAAAATTTTCATTACTGTTATGTGTAATGTGGACACAGGGATGAGGGATGTTTTTTTTTTTTTCTTTTTGAAAGAGAGACACAGAGAGAAGGGGAGAACATCCAAAACTTAGGTGAGGAGCACATAGATAGCAACAAAATTTGGACCTCAACCCTACCAGTAATAGAACAGTAGACCAGCCTGGGATTCACCTCCTGAAGATCTTGGTAACTCAACCCCATCTCTCCTAGCTTTCCTGGGATGTAATTCTCTATGAGGACATCACTTTTCTTGATTAACTGCAAATAAAATGTTTGCAATTCTTTGGTCTTTTCAGGGATTATTTCAACTGTTTTTATATAATTTCTACTGAGACATTCATGTAAATAAATAAATAAATAAATAAATAAATGCATTCATTTTCAAGTAATATTCTAAAAAACAAAAGTCTTCTTTGTGTTTCACAGTCGAGCTAAATATGTCAAGATTTCAACTACATTTCTGGCCATTATCAGTTTAAAATAAAAGACCGCAGTGGTCTCATCTCAACCTCTTTTATTATTTGATTCCCATCAGGAGACTTGAAGTTCACTGCTACACTCTGAAATGGAGGGGAAAAGTGTTCACTCCAAAGTGCCACTGATTGTCAAGTTTAATAAACTGATTTTGTTAGTTGTTACATTTAGTTATTACTGTACTAATTGTGTTTGTTGTAGCTTGGTGAGACTAATGATTGTGATTCTTTGACTACCTTCACTGTATAATATTGCATTAATGATGAAATAAAATAAACACAGTGGGTTTGTGCCAGGTACATTTAAACTTCTTTATTTAATATAAAAAAAAAAACTCAAACTGTCATACAAAACTGTAATAAACACTTGTACTATATTTTTTTCTATTTTCTCTTTTATTTAGAACTTCTAAATTGAAGGTGTAAGACTGCAGCATACTGCACTTGGTGGTAATATTATACCTTTTTGTTCCTGTTTATAGACAGAAAGTAGGCACTTTGGTCTCCACAAAATGGCGGTCCCCAAGATCTTGTTTCATCTCCTATACCTAAGTGTGATCACATAATAATGATAATATATGAGAGACTGAAAATTGAAGAAATAGAAAAGCTCTAGCTTTTCTGATATTGTAGAGAAATACCTAATTTAATTTATATTATTAATTCTAGATAATAATATACAAAAAAACTTTTGAAATTAATCAAACAAATTAATAAGATAAAAAATGAAATAAATACATTTTAACACCTACATGGATTATTAAAGCTAGATAATTATCTATAAGAAAACCTTTGAAGTTAATCATACAAGTTCAAAAATTCAATGCATGTAGAAATTTTAACACACACAAAAGAAAAAAAAACTCACTGCACAAGATTTCATTAAAAGAATATTTGTAATTTGTAATTATTGAATCCAACAACAGGTGCAGGTGAAGTCTATGTGATAAACAAGAAGTGTCAGAGCTCATAAATACCATAATGTGTCTAGTATGAGCATTAATTCTTATCCTTATTCAAGAATGTCACTATGGGCGGCCAAAAGGGCAAAAAATCCTGTCGTCGATTCAGTTATGTTTCGTNAAAAAAAACTCAAACTGTCATACAAAACTGTAATAAACACTTGTACTGTATTTTTTTCTATTTTCTCTTTTATTTAGAACTTCTAAATTGAAGGTGTAAGACTGCAGCATACTGCACTTGGTGGTAATATTATACCTTTTTGTTCCTGTTTATAGACAGAAAGTAGGCACTTTGGTCTCCACAAAATGGCGGTCCCCAAGATCTTGTTTCATCTCCTATACCTAAGTGTGATCACATAATAATGATAATATATGAGAGACTGAAAATTGAAGAAATAGAAAAGCTCTAGCTTTTCTGATATTGTAGAGAAATACCTAATTTAATTTATATTATTTTAATTAAAATTCTAGATAATAATATACAAGAAAACTTTTGAAATTAATCAAACAAATTAAGTTAAAAAATGAAATAAATACATTTTAACACCTACATGGATTATTAAAGCTAGATAATTATCTATAAGAAAACCTTTGAAGTTAATCATACAAGTTCAAAAATTCAATGCATGAAGAAATTTTAACACACACAAAAGAAAAAAAAAAACTCACTGCACAAGATTTCATTGAAAGAATAGTTGTAATTTGTAATTATTGAATCCAACAGGTGAAGTCTATATGATAAACAAGAAGTGTCAGAGCTCATAAATGCCATAATGTGTCTAGTATGAGCATTAATTCTTATCCTTATTCAAGAATGTCACCTGGTCGTTCAACTTTGATCACCTCAGCTCCCAAGTCTCCCAGGATCATAGTACAGTATGGACCAGCTAACACCCTGGTGATGGAAAAAAAGTGAGAAAAAATTCCACAATGAAAACTTCAAAGATCAAAGATCATTGAACAGTAGGGGCCACATAAAACCCTGGTAATATAAAAAAAATTATAAAATAAAATGTGGGAATAGTCCCAATTTAGTGGGAATTACTCCTGTTCACAAGATGCCGCATATTGCAGGAGCTCTAGAACACCTGCTGGACTATAAAAGTACTGATTGATCAATGAAATGGTTCATGAGAAAAAGGATCGGTTAAACCAAATAAAACAAAGAAAGCACATAATATATGCCCAACAATTACCTTGTCATGTCAATAACTCTTATACCCTCCAAAGGCAAGTCATGTTTGTTTTCTCTGTTGTCTTTGGAAGCTAATCAATAATAATTAACAAATTATTGTAGACTGTGAACATATATTTGTCATGTCGAGTCCAATTACTACTTTCTGATTTAAAACACTTATACAGTATTTAGGTATTATACCAGTATATAATGGCATTACACTATATTTTTTATACCAGGTATACTTTACAATATACTATCAAACATATTCAGTATTATATATTTCATGAAAAAGGGTGTATAAATAGAATTGGAAAACTTACATGATTTTAATATATTCACATTCATTAAGTCATTAGTTTGAGGTCATTTAATATTAAAATTTTATTTGAGAGAACTTAGATTGGTTTTGTATTGTACTTCTACAGCGCCAGCTAGCGGCCAATATGAAATCAACAGGAATGTAAACGATGTACGTGTAATAACACAGCAATTTTAAACAGTCTTTACCCTCATCTCAAAGTGCCGGTCCAATTGGCAAATGTCATTATAAACAGTTACGCTCCACTTTACTCAGTTTTTCACTAATGAACATGCACATTTTCATGCCAAAGCCTATAACACTTCGACTATTTTCGTGAAAACCAGAGCAAGCCAACTCACTTTTCGAGAGACTACTTTTCACCATAAGACTTTAAAGCGCGCTAAGAGACTACAATTAACAAACGATGCCCTGCTGATGAGAAAGGGGGCGGAGGAATGCGAGATGGAGGGGTGGTGGTGGTAAGGGAGGGGGGGGGGGTCGGTGTCGGTTG